AGGGGCTGGCGCTGTGGCGTAGTGGGTAAAGCTGCTTCCTGTAATGCCAGCATTCCATAAGGGTGCTGTTTCTGGTCCCAACTTCTCCACTACCAACCCAGCTCTCTACTATGGTGTGGGAAAGCAGTAAAAGATGGCCCAAGTGCTTGGGCCCCTGCACCCAAGTGGGAGACCCGAAAGAAGCTCTGGCTCCTGACTTCAGATTGGCACAGCTCCATCCATTGCAGCCAACTGGGGAATGAATCAGCAGACAGAAGACCTCTCTCTGTGCCTCTCCTTCTCTAACTCTGACTTTCAAATAAATAAATAAATATTTACAAAAAAACCCCCTATATTTGCTATATTTAACCATTATTAATATTTCTAATATAATTATTTTTTCACTAAACCTTTATTTTTATTTCTGTAAATTATTCATAAAATGATTAGGGCCAGACTTGCAGCAGAATGGTTAAAGCTGCTGCCTGCAATGCCAGCATCCCATATGCGTGCTGGTTTGTGTCCTGGCTGCTCCACTTCCAATCCAGCTACTTGCTAATGGCCTGACAAAAGCAGTGGAAAAGTGCCTGGGCCCCTGCACCCATGTGGGATACCCGGATGAAGCTTCTGGCTCCTGGCTTTAGCCTGGCCATCTGGGGAGTGAACCAGCAGATGGAAGGTATCTCTTTCTCTCCCTTCCTCCCTCCTCCCCACTCCATAACTCTTTCAAATAAATAAATAAATCTTTTAAGAAATAACCTAGGCCGGCGCAGCAGCTCAATAGGCTAATCCTCTGCCTGCGGCACCGGCACCCCAGGTTCTAGTCCCGGTCGGGGTGCCGGATTCTGAACCAGTTGCTCCTCTTCCAGTCCAGCTCTCTGCTGTGACCTGGGAGTGCAGTGGAGGATGGCCCAAGTGTTTGGGCCCTGCACCCCATGGGAGACCAGGAGAAACACCTGGCTCCTGGCTTCGGATCAGCGCGGTGCGCCAGCCGCAGCGGCCATTTGGGGGTAAACCACCAGAAAAGGAAGACCTTTTTCTCTCTCTCTCTCTGTCTGTCTAACTCCGCCTGTCAACAACAACAACAACAAAAAAGAAATAACCTAGAGATGTAAAAAAATAAGAAAAGTCCACTAGACTCAGACACATGGAAGACGATAACTCTTTTTTCTCATATATGAGGGTTAAGTGCTATTACTCACAAGTTAGAGTGCCAGGATTCAAATACTGGCTCTAACATCTACTAGCTCTGTGTCTTTGAGTCACATACCTCTCTCCCAGCCTCAGTTTCCTCATCTGCAAAATGAGAAAACTGAACCATCTCTTAGCTGCTTAGAAGCTTAAAGACAACAAAAGACAAATTTTTAGTATGATTAGTATATAGTAACTAAAAAGTGAAGAATAGCTAGCTGCTGTCATGAGCACCATCATCTTACAAACATAGCTACCAAAACAGATCATTCTTCAGTAGTTTGCCACTTACTGGTTTTCAAAACACCAGGCCTCATATTTCACAATACTAAATTAATTACATAGGAGACAAGGACCTGGATTATTCAGAACTTAGCAAAGAGGTTCACAAGGTTCACAAAGTATTACATTATAACATAAAAGAAAACACTTTAAATTCTCAGAAATAAATGTAATGCACAAGATCTATAGATCTAAACCAGACGTTTATACCTGTGAAAAAGCAGAGGCCTCAAAAGCCCATTCATAATATAACTAATTTAAAACATTATTAGCTAATATGAATAAAGTATTTATATCTAACACAATGTCCTACATACGACAATATTTAGGATCCTTATTGGGAAAATGGTAAAAAAAAATTAGTAGTACTTTCAAAGGCTATTGACTTTAAACTTTTTTCTTTATTTCTCAAGTTACTATCTGATCAGAACTTAATATTGTTCAACCATGTTCATAATGAATTTAAATCAACTCTCAAATACTTATAGGAAATGTATGGAACCAAGGATAATTCTAAAAAGTCAATCCATCAACATTATATTAAATGGACCTTACAATTTTTCAAACTTTTCACCAGGGATAACATTATTTTTAATTCTTAAAACTCAAACAAAATCATAAAGTCCTTAGATGTTCAGGCTTATCATTCTGTTTCCTAGTTCATTATTCATTTTTTACTCCCCAAACCATTCTGCAGTTAAATACTATCATTTTTCAAACTGATGATAAATGTTTAGGTTGCTCCACTGTAATCTGTGATCACATTGTATTTCTAATTCCTCTGCTCTTTGGTTTGTGGGAAGCAATTAATATCTTAAGGACTTTTTTTCCCAGTGTTAGAAGTAGAAAGAGTTAACATTAAACTTAATTATACAAACAAGATTTAGTGAAGCAAGACCTTCCAGGGTTTAAAAGAAGGGAATTATAAAAAATCTATGATGTCTCCTAATCACAGCATTCAAGTAAAACATTTACTGAATACTGTCTTGCATACTCAAGAAACAGCAGTTTGCACTGGAAAAACCTGAGGGAGAGGAGAGTATGACATAAATCTGTAAAAACTATGTAATGTAAAAGGACAGCTGTATGGAGGAAAGTCTTACCAGTCAACCTAGATTTGAATCCTGGCTTTACAACCTACTTACTGGAACAAGGTACCTTCTTCTGAACTCGACTTCATCTCTAAAATGGGTATAATATCTACCTTGCAAATCTGCTGAGATTAAGCCTGAATATCCTAGGTACTCAATAAATGCTGTTACTGTTATTATCTTAGAACTGGGAGAGATTTAATCTAGTTCTCTCATTTTATAAACGGGGACACCAAAATATCACCAAGCAGAACACAAAATGTCAAATTAGTACACAAGTAGGGTATGAGATAAATTCATTAGAAATCACAAGACTATGTAGGCAAGATTTTCACAGGTGTACATGAAACTACAAAAGGAAGATTGTTATGAATTTGAAAACAAAAAAGTACAATTGCGGGGGCTGACACTGTGGAGAAGCAGGCTAAGCCTCCAGTGCAGCACCAGCATCCCATATGGGTGCAGAATCGAGACCAGGCTGCTCCTCTTCTGATCCAGCTCTCTGCTTATGGCCTAGGAAAGCAGTGGAAGATGGCCCAAGTGCCTGGACCCTTGCACCTGTGTGGGAGACTGTGAGGAAGCTCCTGGCTCTGGGCTTTGAATCGGCTCAGCTCCAGCTTTTGTGGCCATTTGGAGAGTGAACCAGGAGATGGAAGACCTCTCTCTCTCTCCACCTCTCTCTGTCTGTAATTCTATATCTCAAATAAATAAATAAAAGTATTTCTTAAAAAAGTACAATAGCTTCATGTAATTAATTTTCCAAACATGTGGTTCTGAATTTAAAAACTAAGCACAAAGTTTATATGGCAATTACAAAATAAGAAGAATCTACAGCAGACAGGTTAAAATTCAACTTTTCAATTACAATGACAGTATTATTAACCAATCACTTTGAGGAGGGTGGGGGATCTTCCAAACTCAATAGGTGAAGCTTTAGTAAAAGGTTATGACTCAAAACTTTCTTCCCTTGGCAAGATTTAACTTTGTTAGGGACAAATTTAAGACAGGCTTTCCACTTACGGCTTCAGTAACCACATCTTTCCTTAATTCTGAGCCAGCATATCTCTCAATTTCTATAAATGCACTATAACCCATGCAATCTGTTTAAAACATGCATAATTTAGGCCGGCACCGCGGCTCACCAGGCTAATCCTTCACCTGCGGCGCTGGCACCCCAGGTTCTAGTCCGGGTCAGGGCGCCAGACTCTGTCCCGGTTGCTCCTCTTCCAGTCCAGCTCTCTGCTGTAGCCCGGGAGTGCAGTGGAGGATGGCCCAAGTGCTTGGGCCCTGCACCCGCATGGGAGACCAGGAAGAAGCACCTGGCTCCTGGCTTTGGATTGGCCGACCGTAGCTGCCATTTGGGGGGGTGAACCAACAGAAGGAAGACCTTTCTCTCTGTCTCTCTCTCTCACTAACTCTACCTGTCAAAAAAAATAAAAAAAAAAAAAAAAACCATACATAATTTAAATTTTAAAAAAGCCACTTAGTGGTCTTATGAAACAAAAAGGCTATCATTATACTAATCATCTCCAAACTGAGTTGTTTTTATTTCCACATCATTAGTATTTTTCTTTTGCTTTACTCAAACACATCAAGTCAGCAACACGAAAAACACTTTCATGAGCAGTGAAAAACACTATGCTAATTTTTCAAGCCTCTCCTGACTTTCCCATGACATCTTTACCAACTTTTGTTTACCATTTTAATTTCTAGAAATTCTGACTCAGTGACTAGATCTATAATGACATTCCTTTAAAAAGTTTACATTTTTATTCTTTTGACAGTAGGGAGCTAAGTCCCCAGGAAAAAAAAAGTTCCGGGAAGTAACACAGAGTAGCAGATTTCAACTTTTACTGAAAGCGGGACATGTGATCAACTTTCAGCTACTCAATTAGGACAACATTGAACATAAGTTCATAGGCGTAACCTGAATAACTACTGTTAGTTTTAATGATATTCAACGTTAAAGACTTGCATCTCGGAGAAGTTTCGGTTATTTTTTGGACTTGAAAAGCTATCACTAAGAGAAAATAAGCCAAACCACCGGAGGGACAGATCATAAATCAACATGCAATCAATGTAAAAGTTCATTTTATTCCCTCTCCTTTGTTTCCTCTGTCAGCTTTGACGTTTTTCAACACAGGACTAATTACCAATAGAGCACAGGCAAATAGGCCATAAACAAGAGCTCTCCATGGATAAGGAGGATAGGTTCCCAAGACGATGGGAATTAGTCAAGCAAAAACCAGTTGAAGAAGGAAACCACATCCCGATCTGACCCTGCCAGAGACCCCCGAGGAACCTGCGAGGAGTACGAAGGAGCCTGGGCTCCTCCCTAAGGTCCCCGGCCTCCAGTGGCAACTCGGCTGGGCAACATGACTCAGGAAAGCACGGGGATGGCAGCGGCCTAGCGCGGCTGTCTCCCCAGCCCTCCCGGGCCTGCCTTCTCGGTCTTACCTGAAGGAAGGCAGGGACAGGAGGCCACGGTCTGGACCCTTGTCTTGCAGCGGGGATAACGCGTCGGCGGAGGCGGCGGCGGCAGCGGCAGCGGCAGCGGCTCAGACCCGGCCCGGCTCTGGCTCCACGAACCGGCGATGAATCAGCCCTATTCCATTCAAAAGAGTCGCCCAGGCCTCCGCCGCGAAGCACTTCCGGGTTCACTGCTCTGCTTCGGCTTCCGTTCCCCTGGCGGCCAATTGGAGACTACTCGAGAGTCGAGCGGGCGTCCCAGGGGAAACGCACGGTGCAGACCGCGCGGGTCCTGCGGCTTCTGCCGTCTCACCGGGAGGAGGAGGCGGAAGTTTGCGCTCGGGCCGCCCCCGCCTCTCGGGTGTCCTCCTTTTTCCAGGCCCACCTCTGTGTTCCCCGGCCGCAGGCGAGCTGTGGGACGCCGGCACCGCCAGCCCCTGAACCGGCTAGGAAATGCAACTCTTGCTGTTGCGGACCCTAGGGTCCTTTCGTTGTGGTGTCCACCGCCATTGCGGCCTTCCACAAAAACTCACAAAGGTAAACTTGAACTAATTGGTCATCTGAAGGAAGCAAAAAAGAAAAAGGGGCTGGTATGTTTAGAGGGGATGGTCAGACGCGCTTTTTCCGTAGCCCACTTGACCCCCCACTTCTTTACTGCTTTGCAAACATTGAATTTCAAGGAAAACTAATGTTCCCAAATATTTTAAGTGCAGTTCAGTTCACAGGGTTTAAGGAATCCTTTACTTAAATATTTTCTCCATATAATTATCAACAACCACGTTTTACTGGTTGATCTGCTCTGTGCTAGGTTTTCTAAAAGCAGGAATAACTACGGACAAGTTTATGTCACACTTTGGGTCTAGTTAGGCCTCTATTCGGGCAACATATTTACCACGTCCCTCTTTCTTTCTCAGATATGTTGCAACTAACAAACATCTTTCAAACATTCCTAAGAATTATGATTAATCTACTGGATGGAGGGTGAGGAGAGAGGACAGCATCAAGATACAAAGCTATAATGTGAGTTACACAATATATTAACATCTCTATCTAAAAATGCTTAATAATGTTACAGGTAATAATTATATTTGGAGTCAGGTTTTATGTTTTCCCCCAAAACTTGTGTTTTGTTTTGTTTTGTTTTGTTTTGTTTTGTTTTTGGTAAATAACCCTCCAAGTAACTTCCCTAATCAGAAACCTGAGATTAGGTACTGCTTGTTCGGCTTCCCAATTAATCCCTCTAGAAAACATGAAGTGTCTAATCTCCATAATAACTTTTACAGTCCACCAGCCCACTTTCTCCATTCTTCCCAGGTTAGCCTTAGTGAAAGCCTTCCTCACTTTTTTCTTAAAATTCTGCAGTTATCCCCTTCATTTTCATGCTTCCAGTCTCCCCCCTTTAACCCATTCTTTACTTCATTGGCAACAATTTTTGTGCTATACAAATACAGTCATGCCCCTTAAAATTCCACTCAAGGTTCCCTGTAACCTTCAGTATAAAGGTCAAAAACCCCTCAACTATGGAGCAGTGTTTGCTCCAGCCATACTGAATTATTTAGCTGGGGAGTGAGATGTTTCTAGGGGCTTTGAAAATCTCTGCCATATTCCTGGGAATCTGGAAGGTAGCTTGCATGGTTGGAGTATACACATTTCTATGGTTATCTGAATACTGTAGAGAGACCCTAGAAGGCCAGTTAAACACTCACCTCTGAACTTGTGACTATTCTGGCAAGAAGTAAATAAATGCTAAGGCAGAATTTTAAATTGTCCTGAATGAGTGTTGAAGGTGTGCCTCAACATATCACATACTAATCCTCTCAGCAAAGGCTGTGGCACTTCTTAGTTAAAGATGTTTAAGGAAACTTCTGTGCAATCATTAGCTGTCAAGTAAATTGAGTAGCAACTTTCGTTGGTACCACACAAAAGCAACAGCTACAACAACAAACAGGAAGAACAACAAATTAGAATATATCCAGAGTTTTTGCATATATTTTAAAATGTCCAGTTTTCAAAATAAAAAGTACCTTCATACAAAGAAATAAAAATGTATGGCCCATTCATAGGCAGGATAAAAATCAATACACAGAAACTATCCCTGCAGAAACCTACATGCTTGACTTACTTGATAAAGACTTAAATCATTTTGGGGCCAGCACTGTGGTGTAGTAGACTTAGCCTCTACCTGCGGCAGGTACCATATGGGTACTGGTTCCCATACCAGCCGCTCCTCTTCTGACCCAGCTCTCAGCTGTGGCCTGGAAAGCAATGGAAGATAGCTCAGGTGCTTGGGCCCCTGCACCCACGTGGGAGACCTGAGAAGCTCCTGGCTCCAGCCATTGCAGCCATTTGGGGAGTGAACCAGCAGATGGAAGACCTTTCTGTTTCTACCTCTCAAATAAATAAATAAATAAAATCTTTTTTAAAAATTGGACATTTTAAATATGTTCCCAAAGCTGAACCATATATAAAGAGCTAGAGAAAAGCAGGAGAGACTTTTCCACCAATTGGATACTGATAAAGAGATATAAATTAGTTTTTAAAACCCAAATAAATCTTGAGTTGAAAACTGTAACTGTCTTTGTCCATTTTGTATTGCCATAACAAAACACCTGAGACTGAGTACTTTATTTTTTTAAAAAAGGTTTATTTAGCTCAGAATTCAGGAGATTCAAGAGCATTGCACCAGCATCTACTTGGTTTTGATGAGAGCATCAGTGAACAGCATTACAATGGTGGGAACGTATTTGGAAAAGCCATCAAAGAAAAGTGCCAGCCTCGCTTATTTTTGTGGGAACTAATTTAGTCCCACAGACCTGACCCCTTCCTTCAAGACAGTATTAATGCATTCACAAGGATGGAGCCCCTAAGACCTAATTACCTTCCACTAGGCCTTTACACTTAAAGGTTCCACCATTTCTAAAATACCACACTGGGGAAAAACACTTGAAACCTTTCGGGGCATGCCATACCCAAATCAGCAATAACTAATATGAAAACTGCAATAAAGGGCCTCAACAGCAGATCTGAGCAGATAGGAGGAAGAAGCAGTAAACTTGAATATGAGTCAGTTGGGGTTATCTAGACAATGATGAAATAAAACATCCTCAAAGACCTATACAAAATGAAGATCTCTAAAGGAGAAGGGAAAAAGAAAAGGGTAGGTACAGTATTTGAAGAAATAATTTGGTGAAAACCATTAATCTACACATCCAAGAAGCTGAACAAATACAAAGTGGGATAAATAGAAATTCATACCTTGACAAAGTCTTATCAACCTGTTGAAAGCCAAGGGAAGAGAGAGAATTTTGAAAGTGGCAAGAGAGAAGGCATGCAACAGATTTACAGCTGAGATCAGGAAAACCAGAGGCAGTGAGGTATTCAAAGTACAGACAGAAAAAACATCAAAATTCTGCCTGCAGCAAAACTATCCTTCCAAACTGAAGGAAGTAGGCAAGTATTGTCACATCCATTAAGACGTTGCTTGGGATGCCCACATCTCAGAGTGCTGGAGTTCAGGGTTTGGCTCAGCTTCTGATTGCAACTTCCTGCTAATGTGCACCCTAAGGAGCAACAAGTGGTATCTCATGTACTTATGTCCCTGTCACCCACTTGGAATACCTGAGATGGGTTCTGGGCTACTGGCTTTAGCCTAGCGCAGCTGTGGCTGTTGCAGGTATTTAGCAAGTGAACCAGCAGATGAAAGATCTCTCTGCGTGTCTCTGCCTTTCAAGTAAATAAATTTTGTAAAAATTTCAAAACCAGGCCAGTAGGTTAAGCTGGCATCCCATATGAGCACTGCTTTGAGTCCTGACTGCTCTGTTTCATATCCAGCTCCCTGCTGATGTGCCTATGAAGGCAGCACAGGATGACTTGGATGGTTCGGCTCCTGCCACCTACATGGGAGCCCCAGATGGGGTTCTAGACTCCTGGCTTTGGTCTGGCCCAGTCTTGGCTGTTGGAGCCATTTGGGACATGAACCAATGGATGGAAGACCTCTCTCTCTCTCTCTCTCTTTCTGTAACTAAAATAAATAAATAATATTTTAAAAAATTATAACTTAAGGAGATTTTAATACATTCCCAAAATGTATGTATAGAAAGAGAATTTGTCACCAGGAAATCTGTACCAAAAGTACTGAAGGGAGTCCTTCAGGGGGCTGGCACTGTGCTAAAACAGGTAAAGCCGCCTCTTGCAGTGTTGGCATCCCATAAAGGTGCCAGCTTGAGTCCTAGCTACTCTACTTCTGATCCAGCTCTCTGCTATGGCCTGAGAAAGCAGTAGAAGATGGCCCAAGTACTTGGGCCCCTGCACCCACATGGGAGACCCAGAAGAAGCTCCTGGCTTCAGATCAGTGCAGCTCTGGCCATTTCAGCTATCTGGAGAGTGAACCAGTGTATGGAAGACCTCTCTCTCTGCCTCTGCTTCTCTCTAATTCTCCCTTATTAATAAATAAATAAATAAATAAATAAATAAATAAATAAATCAGACAGTACCTCAAATCAAATCTACATGGAAGAATGAATACTTAAAATGGTGACTAGATAAGAAAATGTGGAAGTATAAATATATTTTTAAAAGACAACTGCATAAGCCAATAATCATAAATTATTTGTGCTGATAGGCATATTATATGGAAAAATAATTTGGAAAAGGAAGGAGAAAATGGAGCTATACAGTAGCAAAGTTTTTGTATACTAATTAATTTGGTATCAGTCTAAACTAAATTGTAATTTGCTAATTATAATCCCTGGATGGGGCTGGCGCTGTGGCGTAGCAGGTAAAGCTGCCACCTGCAGTGCTGGCATCCCATTTGGGTGCCGGGTTTGAGTCTTGGCTGCTCCACTTCTGATCCAGCTCTCTGCTATGGGCTGGGAAAGCAATAGAAGATGGCCCAAGTCCTTGGGCTCCTGTACCTGCATGGGAGACCTGGAAAAAGCTCCTGGCTCCTGGCTTTGGATTGGTGCAGCTCTGGCTATTGCAACCATGTGGGGAGTGAACCAGTAGATGGAAAACCTTTCTCTCTCTATCTGTCTCTTTGTAACTCAACCTCTCAAATAAATAAATTTTAAAAATCTTTAAAAAAATTTCCTAGATCAATGAGTAAGCAAATGCTAAAAAATATATGATAAAAAAGATAGGGTTGAGAGTAGATATTGCAGCATTGTGGGTTAAGCTGCCACTTGAGAAGCCAACTTCCCATTTTGGAGGGCCTGTGTTTGACTCC